GGTGGTGAATATAAAAACCTAGATTAACGACAGAAACATAATGTTTTACTATCATAACTGTATTATAGAGGGTAGCACATATAAACCTAGATTAACGACATGAACATATTATGTTTTACTATTATACAACTGTATTATAGAGGGTAGCACGTATAAACCTAGATTAACGACAGAAACATATGTTTTACTATTATACAACTGTAAATAAGAGGGAAGCACATATAAACCTAGATTAACGACAGAAACATAGATGTTTACTAGTATAACTGTATTATAGAGGGTAGCACATATAAACCTAGATTAACGACAGAAACATATGTTATGCTGTTATACAACTGTATTATAGAGGGTAGTACATATAAACCTAGATTAACGACAGAAACATATGTTTTACTATTATACAACTGTATTATAGAGGGTAGCACATATAAACCTAGATTAACGACAGAAACATATGTTTTACTATTATACAACTGTATTATAGAGGGTAGCACATATAAACCTAGATTAACGACAGAAACACATGTTGGCACCTTTTTCACCTTTGTATCCCGCTATGGCATAAATGGGATCGAAACCAACCACAGTTTTTCCTGATGAACTATTCGAGTGCTATCTACAACTATTTTTGATGTTGAAAAATAATAATATGGAAATTCGAAACATATTTTAGTCTATTTTACCATTTAGAAGTCCCATCATGCATTTTATTTGTCATGTATTACCTGGTACCTTATCTGATTTTGGTATTTAAAATATATAGTTACTAGCAAATTGTTCCAGGGGTATTAAAGTATATCTATCTACACTGTCCTTTTAGTTGAGCAATTTTTCTGTCGTGGGTGCAAAGATCAATGCCAAGTAAATACATCAAGGTATTACCTTGGTTAAATGACCTTGGCAAACCCGATCAACACAGATCCTAACTGACTAATACAACAGGAAGTGTGTATGATTGATAGTAAAACGATATCCTATGATTTTATTTATTAGTTGATTCAAGCGTGGCGAGTGAGCACAAATAGTAGATATTTACATTTACGATAAAAATGTTATCACTTACTCGTATAATCATATCCTGTTCTATTAACTCGTATTGTATCCAATTAAAAGTATTCATAAAAGAATATATATTTACTAAATACCAATAGTTTGATTCATAAGTAGTCAACGTTTTCATTAAGAATAAGATTACGTAGTCTACTACGCTGGGGTGCAACTCATCCCAATAGCATCTATTCAGTGGTGCCTGGCCGGTCATTCCTAAATATCAAATCCCTTTTCTTTTTAATCTCAGGATTTTACTATTCTGTTCATCACGACAGTTTGACAGTTCTACAATTTTAGACCACAAATCATTGTCATCAGATCATTTAAAACAATAGGAGAGCAAACAAACAGACAAAGTTGTAACCGCTTCAAGAGGCGATAAAGAAGCTTATGGCAATTCTTATAGAGTTTATATGTAAATGCCTGTAGGTCCAGGAGATGAGCCAGCTCTGACTTTCTTTACCACTGCTTTCACTTCATCTAGAGTGTTGTCTGAAGGCAGGCTCTTGGACTGAGACTTTAAAAGGACATTCTCTCAAGGAACATCTCGTTCGTGGTCGCTATGAGCTGATCTTATGCTCTCCTCTGCATCGGCTTTAGAACATTTAAGTTGTCCATTCTTCGGTTTGCCAAGAAACCACGAGAAGATCATCTTGCAAAGTTCGTCCTGAAGTTGTTTCAATCCATGTCTTTCGAGCTCTGTAGAGTGTTTCCATTGTCGTTGAAGTTTAAGCAGTTCTCCCTTCAAAGAAGCAATCTCTCGCTGCCTTCTCCTAAGACCAGCCTTTTGTTTGGCCTTCTGTGTTGTTCCCTTGTCTCCGAAGGTATCACTGCATACATCATAGACAATCCTAGTCATGGAGACTAGCTTCTCTTCTTGACTGCCCCTGTTTGAAACCTCTTAAATGACATTGAGGTTTTCGTCCAGGTGTGGCCATCTGGGATCTGTTGCTGGTGGTAGTTGGAAATGTGGCTTTCTCTCAAGAACATTCTTACTTTTTCATGTTGGCTAGCTGGGATGTTCTCAGGAACTTCGACATAGAGGTTCTGAGCACTGTGGTTAGCGTCCGGGTTCGGATCCTCCACCGACTTACTGGCAACTCTCTCTAAAGTGTTGGCTGCCATACGCTGTCTCAACTTCTCTTTACACCCAAGCTTTCGCTTTTCCGAGATGAACTTTCACTCCATGCTCATTCTTGAAGATGCCCCCACAACTCCCACAACGACGTCTTGTTTCCATTTCGTCTTGTTTATTTTCAATAGTCCTACTCACATCTGTCGTTTTCGCGTTGGTCAGTATCCGTCTGTGTATGTCCGTTTCGAGGCCTATTAAGGACGTTTTGTTGACTTGTAGCAATTATAAATATAGAGTTTGGGTTGCTAGCCCAGAACCATAAGAACTGTCTTTCCAGTGTCATTGCTAGCCCAGAACCATAAGAACTGTCTTTCCAGTGTCATCTAGTTATGCTCTGAGAGTTTCAGCAGTGTTCACAGTAGTTTCCCAGTACAGATTAATGTCAGACTAAGCTGGCGCTGATATTAAATATAATTACATATCAGTTAATTATAAAGAGGACAACGTGTGATGATGGATAATGTTCTCCGAGGCAATCTAGCTGTTAAACTAAATTTCCATAAAGTAGCCTAGGGGTGTCTAGCTGGCAAGTTGTACAAATATGAAAGAGATCGATTACAATATGTAAGAATTGACAAATTCAAAAATGGATGTCGAAAACAATAGAGCTGTGCAATGAAACCTTCATAGCATTTTTGTCTGCTATCAAGTGTTAGCAGCTTGTCTTTGTGCCAGATTCATTGATTTGTTTTATTATTCTCTGTTTCAAATATACATTCTGTCAAAGATTTTAGTTTAGAGGGATAAACAATGCCCTTATGATAAGCGATGAGGCTACTATTGTTTCAGATAAACATTCTACACGTTCTTGAATATTTGGTAATGTACTGTACCTGTATAAACTATTGACATTTGTAGAGTAGCAGAATTGGTAGCAGAAAAGCAATTCAAATAGTTGACTTCTAAATAAAAACTGGGAACACAATAATTATAACACATCATACCTGATCGATCTGACTTGACTTGAATATTTGAATACTGGAATATCACATGGACACCACAACAAAAAACTAGTTCCCAACAGTCTGAAATAATTAGCTACTTCGTTTGTAAACAGTCTTCAATATATCTATCTCACTCGCAGTATGTTCAGGTCGCATTATTTCGGTGTTCGCATAACCCTACTATCACACCAAACTAGTTCTCACTGCGTTCTCGAAAACGGGCTTCAACTGTGTACGAACGGACTGGACGTATTTAGAACCGGTTGGGGTCTATGTACAAACTTCATAGAACGTACTCGAACGGGTAGGTCCTCTAGATTGACACCAAGCAAGTTGCCACTACGTTCTTCAAAACTGGTTTTAAACTGTGTGCGAACGGAATGAACGTAGCTACAATGGACTTTCCCGGACGGGGAATGTGATTTAGAATTTTGAATCGATTCAAAATTCGATGGCGACCATACCGTTCTGTAATCAGGTCATGATGACCTTCTAGACTAATGGACGCGTTATACGACGCTGCACACCGACGTGGTGCGACCTGAACGAACTGCGAATGAGATGGACGTATTGAAGACTGTTTATGAACGAAGTAGCTAATTATTTTAGAAATATTTCCCGACCACAGCCAGATTGAGCCCGTTCTACGACGTTTTCGTAGGACTGGCAAGAACGGGTAAGAACTAGTTTGGTGTGATAGTTCCCAAACGGTTCTTAGTGGGTTCTTAGTACGTCAAATCCGTTCGTGCACAGTTTAAGCCCGTTTTCGAGAACGTAGTGAGAACTAGTTTGGTGTGATAGTAGGGTTAAGTGTGTTATAGCAGCGATAGCCGTAGGGGTAAGGTCGTGAATGGCGGCCTTTATAAGGTATGTATTTCCACTGCTTATTTTCAATACCAAACAGAAATAAATCAAACTAAACAGACATAGAATTAGTCCCGGTGTAAAAGAAATGATGGTCCCCCAGGGATTATGGTCCCCTTTCTTAACGGCCCTTACTGGCCCTGATTGCGTATAAGATAATGAGGGAAAGAGTTGTATTTAGGTCACCATATAAATCAATGGAGAGTAGGACCATAATTTGATAGGACCTCCTACCCTTTTACACCTGCAACACAATAGAATGAAATGTATGTTATCTTTGAGAATATTGAGCTATAACAAAGAGCAGTGTATTATTTTTCTACTTTGGCCTTGGCATTAGCTAGCCAAAACAAGTGTGGTACAATAGACGATTGGATGTCACATAAAGTGCTTTATAACATACCTATGATGATGTATAGTGTAAACTGTTCACAAGACAGCGGGCCAATAAACGTTTGAAAAGCCCGCGCCCGCTAACTTTCTGATTGGTCAAGCGCTGGAACTACGTCATACATTAGGCCTAGGTCAAATTGACTCGTACATTCGTAAGATACAAACATGGGAATAAATCATCATTTCCGAACCAGTGCTAATCAATAAGATAAGAAAACGGTACTCTCTGACCAGACTAGATCATCATAGGTATGTTATAAATCGTTTATGTCACTATAGTTGCACATATGCCCTCGGTTCTCAGTGATCAATGTCCCTCCCAAGGTCGGGCCATATATCACTGAAACCTTAGGGCATACTAGTATATGCAACGATAGTGACATAACCTCCAATTAAAGCTGACCTAATTATACCCTATTCACTCTTTCAATAGTTACCCACTCACTTCTCAATAAGCTTACCTCAGTCATAACAAAAGAATCTTATTCCTAAAATTGGATCATTGGCCATTTACCTTTCATAAATGTTTGTGCCCATTGTGATTTAATTTAGATAAACAATTCGTCTTGGGTCTTTTGTGAAAAAATACCCAAGCCTCATTGTTTATCCCTAACATAAACACCAACAGTATTGAACATAACAATACTTGTTTATGTTTGTAAAATATATTTGGCCATTTTATAATGTATTGTAAAACAAACTGAAGGCGCACGAAAATACATTAAGGCGGGGCTATATCAGGGGGAGGAATTTCTTGTTCTTGATGTGGAAAGTCCCTTATCATCACCCAATGTCCATCTTCCAACTTTTTCCATGTATTCGCTGATCTCCTTCTGTAACATACAACGAAACAATATGTTAAATTGCTCAATAGTACTATCTGTAATAATATAAGGGATCATATCGAGATTTTGACGTAATTTGATCATTGACATAATGTGACGTCATGGATGCATCATTGCAGAATCTCAATGGGACAAAATTGAACATCAAATAATCAAATAAATGTTAAAATGATCCATTGTGTCAGGGTTACAAATGGTGGAGATACTAACAAAGGTCAACTGTGCAAAAATGTAGCGATCAACTATGAAAATAATTTGTTTTGGGCAAAAACGGTTATACTTAACAATATGTAATTGATCTGGAAAAAAGTTCCAAATGATGATGTTATTCAAATGTAAATTTTGCCTTTAATATGCTTTTAGATCGTTATGTCAGGGTCAGAAATGAATGAACTAGACTAATGCGTTTATTTTATCATATTTTATTTTCACCACATTTAATAACTTTTCCCGATGGGTTACAATTAAGGTCGTTTTTGAAAAACGACACCATTTTCCAATACATATTACAATGTATATTTCAATTTAGCGCTACACGTTCGACGCGCGGACGTGTAAAGTACACGGTTTACCGTAACGCCATTGGGTCAGCGGAATCACGTGACGGTAACGATAGGTTGAAAAGCACATGGTAAAATTACGCTTAAATCTCGTTATGCGATTTTGATTTTGATTCAGTTTCAATGCTTTATTATTCAACAATTTTCATTTTTAAATGTAATCATATCTTTGAAAATATATTGTAACTTGCATTAGGAGAGTCCCATCTGTTAATGTCCAAACGTGACGTGCCATGCTCACAAAGCCGTTGCAGTCCGAAAGAGGAAACGCCTCTTTTACCTCAGTTACAAGATTATTACTCGGCTTAAATGACGTTCTGAATGTATCTTTTATCGCTGGAAAATAGATAAGTAAAAGTATCATTATCGTGTATCTTCAACTAATTTCCATGTATTTTAAATCTAGTTAATCATGAAAAATACAATCTATATATTAGAATTCAGATCTGCAGAAATAAATGTTAAAAATGTATGTACTCGTATTGAATCGATTAATTCCATCTTAATTCGATGCATTCAACGTAATCATAAGTAATTTTTGAACGACATAGTACATACGTAATTTAGTTTATTCAAAGGAAGAGTGAAAGTATCGCAACAGATTTCGGACAGTCATATGTTGGATTTTGGCTATTTTCTAAGGATTTAAACAGGTGCATATGTTAGACCAATGCATTAATTCAAGGAAAAGCTCTCCTAGAGGTGATAAAATAATTTCGACTTTGAGACAGGGAAGATGCAAAAAACACACCCGCATGTTTCTTCTGAAATATTTTCCTGATTTCCAACACCCCTTCCACTCCTGCTTTTTTAATTTTTCTTGCATCAATATGAACAACTGTTTTGACACAAAGTTAACCCCCTTTTTCACCCATAATGGATATCTTTAAAACCCCCGAAGGAATCACCTATTCCTTTAGAGGGATTAAATGTGTGTCAAAATGCAACATCTTGATGCAACAAAAATTGAAAAAGCAGGGGTGGAAGGGGTTGAAAATCAGAACAACATTTCAAAAAAAATGTGGGTGGGCTGTTTGCATCTTCCCTGTCTCAAAGTCGAAATTGTTTACCATCTCTATGAGTGCTTTCCCTAGAGGTAATGCATTGATCTAACATATTGTGGGAAATTTGAATTTCCCACCTTTCAAAATTTAATCTACGCTAGAGGGCGCTAGTTCTGAAATTTCAAATACACGAGAATTGTCATTTCAAAATTTAAAAAAAAGGCTCCTTTCCTGCGATCTCCTGGTAGGTTTCCATTTATTTTTATATTCCCTTCATTCATATAAGTATCAAGAGTAATATTATGTGATAATCTAAGAGAAACTTGCCTGAATTTAGATGTAATGATCGTGCAGAGTAGAATTTTTTCGTTCGAGTTGTGTTTACTTTCTTTTTCGAATATCTAGGTCAAATTACTTTGTGGTTATAACTTCATTACCCCCCTAGTAGGGTATTTTTCTGATATACATTTATGTTTTATATTATCTGGGAACAATTAGGGATAACGTTCCTTACTTCTGTAATAGTTTAAATTCATATTTCCGGGGATTGGGTAACTTACTCTTTCTTCTAACAGTGCCATCCTTATTATGCTTATGTGCTATGCCTGGTCTTCGGTAGTTTAACCCCAAAAACCTAAACTAATAAAAAGAGTAAACTAAGAGTAAGTGCAAATCTCAAAGAGTAACTTAGGAGTAACCATAAACTCAAGGAGTAAGCTGGGAGTAAGAGTAAGAGTAACCTTACTCTTTGCTTGTGCGGGAACCCTTGTCCTAGAATTGGTCAACCCATAGGAGAAATGTGCCACATGGTTATGAGTCATCGGCAATTAAAGGATCTGTGATTGACATTGTCATAGTGATTTCCCACAATGCATCACCAAATGGAGTAAACACACCAGCTTAGTCCAGCTGTAGCCAATCAGATAGCTTCCTTATGCATCTCATTAGTGGGTTAAGATAGGAGATAATCTGATCACCTGATGTTAGTCTTGCTTTAAATGTTGAAGTGTGAGGATGTGTAGCATCATTTTTAAAGCTAAATCGGGAATATAATGGAAAATTTGATTCTATTATTGGATGTTTATTGTGTTTGTGGATGCTGATAAATCTGAGGAAGTCTGGAGATTAACCAAGTGTGGATTAGCGTTAGTTGGAGTATATTTATCGTTTCGTGACGGAAAATACCATGACACGTGGATATAGGACCATTTGGCATGGTGTGATGTGGGCGAACAAGGAGAACTGTGAGTGAATTAGCAGTTAGAGACGTCTAAAGAACATGTTCCAGATTTTGTAAGTGCTGATATATTCCTATAATTCCTTTTTGTGATACAATCAAAAGGTTAATTTGATGCTTTTTTCGATTTGACATTGAGATTTTGGTGATTGCATCATACACTCCCCACAATCCTTTGCAATTCCGCCATCTTGGATGACTTCCGGTCCACGTGTGGTTCAAGTCTAATCTCAGAATTTGATTGACATTCTTGAACTACTCGTTCCTTAAAGCAAGCATTTTCTTATTTTTGAGCTGTAGTTTTATCCTCATTGAAGTGTGTGGATCAAATCTAATCTCAGGATTTGATCAACATTCTTGATTCCATCCGGAGCAAGTATTTTGTTGAGCAGTAGAGTTATTTCCTTTTGGACTGGTAATTGGGGTCTAATCTCATAATTTGATTGATATTCCCGAATTACTAGTCTTGTTTTGAACAACCGGGCTGGAGAAGAGTAACCCTGAGTAGCAGAGCGGCCAAGAGTAAAGAAGAGTAACCCAGGCTGAAGAAGAGTAACCCTGAGTAGAGCAGAGCGGCGAAGAGTAAAGACGAGTAACCCAGGCTGAAGAAGAGTAACCCTGAGTAGAGCAGAGCGGCGAAGAGTAAAGAAGAGTAACCCAGGCTGAAGAAGAGTAACCCTGAGTAGAGCAGAGTGGCGAAGAGTAAAGACGAGTAACCCAGGCTGAAGAAGAGTAACCCTGAGTAGAGCAGAGCGGCGAAGAGTAAAGAAGAGTAACCCAGGCTGAAATAGAGTAACCCTGAGTAGAGCAGAGCGGCGAAGAGTAAAGACGAGTAACCCAGGCTGAAGAAGAGTAACCCTGAGTAGAGCAGAGCGGCGAAGAGTAAAGAAGAGTAACCCAGGCTGAAGAAGAGTAACCCTGAGTAGAGCAGAGCAGCGAAGAGTAAAGACGAGTAACCCAGGCTGAAGAAGAGTAACCCTGAGTAGAGTAGAACAGAAAGGAGTAAAGAGTAACCAGAGCAGAATAGAGAGTAAGCAGAACAGAGCGGAATAAAGAGTAACCAGAGCAGAAAAGAGTAAAGCAGAGGGAATAGCAGAGACGAGGGTAGAGTAAAGAGTAAAGCAGAGCAGTGCAGAGTAAAGAGTAAGCAGAGCAGAACAGATTAAAGCAGAACAGAGCAGATAGGAGTAGAGAGTAACCAGAGCAGAGAAGATAGGAGTAAAGAGTAAGCAGAGTAGAATAAAGAGTAAGCAGAGCAGAACAGATTAAAGCAGAACAGAGCGGAATAAAGAGTAACCCTGAGTAGAGTAGAACAGAAAGGAGTAAAGAGTAACCAGAGCAGAATAGAGAGTAAGCAGAACAGAGCGGAATAAAGAGTAACCAGAGCAGAAAAGAGTAAAGCAGAGTGAATAGCAGAGACGAGGGTAGAGTAAAGAGTAAAGCAGAGCAGTGCAGAGTAAAGAGTAAGCAGAGCAGAACAGATTAAAGCAGAACAGAGCAGATAGGAGTAGAGAGTAACCAGAGCAGAGAAGATAGGAGTAAAGAGTAAGCAGAGTAGAATAAAGAATAACCAGAGCAGACCAGAGTAAAGTAGAGCAGAGCGGAATAAAGAGTAACCAGAGCAGAATAGAGTAAAGCAGAGCAGAGCGGAATAAAGAGTAACCAGAGCAGAATAGAGTAAAGAGTAAGCAGAACAGAATAAAGAGTAAGCAGAGCAGAACAGATTAAAGCAGAACAGAGCGGAATAAAGAGTAACCCTGAGTAGAGTAGAACAGAAAGGAGTAAAGAGTAACCAGAGCAGAATAGAGAGTAAGCAGAACAGAGCGGAATAAAGAGTAACCAGAGCAGAAAAGAGTAAAGCAGAGTGAATAGCAGAGACGAGGGTAGAGTAAAGAGTAAAGCAGAGCAGTGCAGAGTAAAGAGTAAGCAGAGCAGAACAGATTAAAGCAGAACAGAGCAGATAGGAGTAGAGAGTAACCAGAGCAGAGAAGATAGGAGTAAAGAGTAAGCAGAGTAGAATAAAGAGTAAGCAGAGCAGAACAGGGGAAAGAGTAAGCAGAGCAGTGCAGAGTAAAGAGTAAGCAGAACAGAATAAAGAGTAAGCAGAGCAGTGCAGAGTAAAGAGTAAGCAGAACAGAATAAAGAGTAAGCAGAGCTGAACAGGGGAAAGAGTAAGCAGAGCAGAACAGAAAGGAGTAAAGAGTAACCTGAGCAGAACAGAGTAAATCAGAGCAGAGAGGAGTAAAGAGTAACCAGAACAGAATAGAGAGTAAAGTAGAGCAGAGCGGAATAAAGAGTAACCAGAGCAGAATAGAGTAAAGCAGAGCAGAGCGGAATAAAGAGTAACCAGAGCAGAACAGAGTGAAACTAAAGCAGAGTAAATGACGTCAGAGAACAGAAGAGTAAAGCAGAGTGACCCCTGAGCAGAGTGAAGAAGAGTAAAAGTAGAGCAGAGTGCAAACAAGAGAAGAGCAACAAGACAACTCAGAGATATTTATTACATGGACATTTGTGTTTTATTTGTTTTCAAAATTAAAGTGTTAATAAATTATAAAAAACCTATATATTTGAATTTTGTATATAAATGTGTAACCACCTCCCCTTTCAGTGAAAGCAGTACCACCAAACCAGGTCTGCGCCCACATAAAACCAGTGAGAATCCCATATTAAATAAATTGTTCGTGACCCGACCACAACCACACTACCAGATTTTGGCCAGGTCCGACATTGGTGGCAGCGGTGGGATTATTTGCTGACGGGGAACGAAGACTTAAGAGAAGAAAATGGCTTCTAAACAAGAAGAAGGCCCTGATGGTATAGTCTCCAGGATGGAAGGAGGACAACAGGAAGAGGAGTCTGCGGACAACACTGTGTTCTTCAAGGGGGACTACACCCAAGTGAACATGGAGCTAGATGATACAGTGCCAGGGATGTGTGGAGTAGATTCTACAGGAGAAGTGGAAGAAAATCCCGAAGGAGCAAGGTCCAAGACGGGTTATATGGTACCAGGAGTAGGGTATGGGATGACGCCATCGAGAGGCTTTCCTTTAACTTCGACTGTGCTGGAGGGAAGATCTCCTGGGGTCACCATGCCC